TCATAGAACTTGAATCCTTAGGAATTCAACAGCATCATTAATTAGGAGTTAATTATGTATTTTGCATGTGGCGCTGAATTTCCTTTGATAGTAGTTTCTTGGAATGATTATAAGTTTATTGTATATAAAATGGAATTTCACCTTCTTGAATCTTGATTGATCAGGAGGCCAGATTATTGTCTTGGACCACATTTGAGGCAGATGCTTTCTTATGGCTGTACAAGACTAGAAATTGGGGTTCAAAGCACTTATGAAGATGTTGCACGGGATACTAATAGAGGACATACTGTAGCTGCTGTGGCTGATTGTTTTTGTTTGGCAAAAGATGCTGGTTTCAAGGTTTGTTGCTGCTCTGTCTTACTGGCTGGCTTTAGTTTATTTGGGGAAATACAAAGTTCAGGGTTCTGTTTTTTAATAGCCGCGACAATCTCGAAATGCCACCAAATAATAGAAACAGTAGGCCTTTGGGAATTTCCTATCTAATTCAGGACCAGAACGTCGATTGAGAATCCACCCAAAATGTTATTTAGAATCCATAGAAACATGTCAAAGGCTTAAAATATAACTCCAGGCTCTGTACTCGAAATCTGTGAAACCAACCTTCTTGTATGGCAGTGATAGCTTATGAGCAGGAAAACTAAACCTATTCCTACTCCGAATTCTTAATTAAATATTTTTTTTCCTAAAAAGGCCAACTCTGTAACTATTAAAAGCCTCCAATAAGGTATGACCTGAAAACAATAATATCGCAGCAAGCTCCGTTGGAATAGGCTTGCTGCTGACGTATGGAGAATCTGTTTTACCATTTTCGGTAGTCGATGATCTGCTTAGTTGTTTCCTACATGTACGTATATATATTTACTAGACGAGGTGTGGAGTATGGATGAATGGTTTCTTCTGCAAGGCCCCCCTCTACGAAATGAATTAGTACCCATTTGCAGACTTGAGTATGGTCTTTATTTCGTTATATTTTCTTGTAGGTTGTTGCCCATATGATGCCTGATCTTCCAAATGTCGGGGTTGAGAGAGACATGGAAAGTTTTCGCGAGTTCTTTGAGAGCCCCTCCTTTAGAGCGGATGGACTAAAAATCTATCCTACTCTTGTTATCCGTGGAACTGGACTCTATGAACTTTGGAAAACTGGCAGGTATCTTATGGTTTCTGATTAATTGATTTGTACTCTCGATTTCTTCCCGGTCTTTCCTTCTAGGTTACTGTTCCAGATTTGTTGTCTTCACACTTTAAGCAGTCGTGGTACTATTTGATTTTCTTATTTAAAAAGTTCCAATGCAGTAAAAAGGTTAATTGATTGAAGGTGGTTGCAGGTACAGGAATTACCCACCTGGGCAACTTGTAGATATTGTTGCTAGGATATTAGCAATGGTACCACCTTGGACACGTGTTTACAGAGTTCAGCGGGATATTCCCATGCCGTTGGTTACATCTGGTGTTGAGAAAGGAAATCTACGTGAGTTGGCTTTAGCCCGGATGGAAGATTTAGGCTTGAAATGCCGAGATGTCCGAACACGTGAGGCTGGAATTCAGGTCAGTCTAAAAAACTGATACGAGTCATGCAATCAGGTCGACCATACAGCTTTCTATACTTTTTCCAGTGATTAACAATTGCACTTCCTGAATGACCTAATCAGGATATTCATAACAAGATTAGGCCTGAGGAAGTTGAGCTTGTCCGCCGTGATTATACAGCAAACCAAGGCTGGGAAACGTTTCTCTCGTACGAGGATACACGTCAGGTAGTGGAGACTCCCCATCTGTGTTTTTTTGGGCAATAGCAGTCCCTTTAATGTGTTTATATATAATTCTGAACCTAGAAGTTCTTTGGATAGATTGGAGCACAAAGTCCTTGAGAATAGGGTATTGCTCAAAACTCTTGTTTGGTGAAACCAAACGATGTACTACCTTCATGGAATTAAGAATCCATGAGTTTACAAAATCACTGGGTCCTACAGATTTTGAAAAACTCTCCCCTACATGTGAGTTCTTGAAATCCATTCCTGCCAATGTTTGTTTTGTCATTCATATATGCACTTTAAAAGTATTGGTAGGGGCAATTGAGGTCAATTTATCTTTCAAAATCATTATTCATTATGAAGTCCGAAGTGTAGTAACCCATTATAACAAAAAATTTCATAAGTTTCAAGATCCATTGTTTTATCACGTTCCAAATCCAATATCCAAATGCTAGTGCTCTAAGTTTAGGTTTTGAACATCGGATTGCTGCTTACTCTTTTGATGTTGTGGAAGAGAAGCAAGACGGAAAACATTGATCGGTGACATTATGGTGAAACTATGTATGTTTCTGTGACAGGACATCCTGGTCGGGCTCCTGCGGTTGCGTAAATGCGGGAAGAACGTGACATGCCCTGAGCTGATGGGTAGGTGCTCCGTTGTTCGGGAACTCCACGTTTATGGTACCGCAGTTCCTGTCCATGGGCGTGACTCAGATAAGCTGCAGCACCAGGTATTTTTCTCCCCCTAGGAATTTCTCAGTTTTACAAAGGAAGTTTGCAGGGAGGGCGGTTATTTAGAAAGAAAAAAAAAACCTTGGCTTGTTCAGGGTTACGGCACGCTTTTGATGGAAGAGGCGGAGGGGATCGCTATGAGGGAGCATAGATCAACCAAACTAGCTGTGATCTCAGGGGTAGGAACCCGTCATTACTATAGGAAGTTGGGTTATGAGCTTGAAGGCCCTTACATGGTGAAAGTCCTTGCTTGACTGCCCCAACTATAGTCTATAAGGCTCCTCTTCTGTATCAGAAATTTTGTAATGAGGTTCAAGTTGAAGTGGTCTGCTCGGGTTGCCGGTTCCATGAGGGGTTTGGGCTACAAAAACAAAAAGGCTCCCTGGCTCGAGGTTGGTTTGATTGACAAGTGCATTTGGGGAAGGTAAACATAGATGAAGAGAACGATTCAACCCCATGCTTGGGAGATGAAGCACAAGGGTTTGGGGGTTAAAAGAAACTTTGGTGCTACGATAAGAAGACAAATGAAAGTTTAGTGAGGAGTGGAAGAACTAGTTAAAAGGGGTGGTTGTTGAATTTTGATCCATTTTTACAATCGCTTTGAAAGGTTATAGAGAGTTATAGATCTGCTGACATAAGAAGGCTTTGCCTCTGCCCTCTTCCATGGCCGGAATCCGGTCAACCACAGTAGTTTTGTCGAGTTTTCACTCTAGGTTGACGAGTCGGTACACTTTTCTTCTGACATGGAACCCAGCCCTCGTAGAGCACTTCTACTATGCTTTAAAGCAAGGTTGTTAAATCCTTATCGGACTCTCGGTTTGGTAATTGATTATGATTGTTAAGAAGGAAAAGTATCATGACGGATATTAGTAAAAATAGTTAGAAAGAGAGAGGGGTTGGGCACAAGAGGTTGGCCAGACCAAGATCGGGAATAATTTTATAATAATTGTTTTGGGAAAATCTTTGTTAATGTTCGCCATCTGTATAGAGACGTTAACCCTATTTTATCTAGGAAAATCATGTTAAACACCATTAATACTATGTTTGAATCCATCGAGTCGTGCCCAGGCGCTCTTAGCGCATTTAATAATGGTTTAGGAGGATGTCTATCTATGACACTTTGTTTGTCGTCTTAATTGCTTACAAGGTTTGTAATCAGTTACAATGTTCGAGCATTAGTCCAACGAGTCAGATTGGCGCGAGTCGGACTGTTTGAGCACTTCCATGTTGGGCCTTATTTGACTTATTGGGTCGGGAGTGAGCAGTTGCGCTTTTTGCACGACCTTGTTTATTGAATTTCTGATCGGGCCATGTTTTGACTTATCCGCCAAAACCCTAAGTATACTTATTATTTGTGGTATTAGTGGTAGTTGGTTTTTATTTCATCAGGTAGCCAAAAGTCGAGTAATGAGGACACGTGTCTTTTTTTACAATGATGTTAGGAATAGCTAGAGACTTATTTATCCGAATGTGTATGACTATGTGATTTACACCTTTTTCTTTATGTTTAAATTATTTACACATTCTCTAACATTATTAACCTATAAGTAACATAATTCGATGGATTCAGATTAGTGGACTAATTATTTTTCAATCACTAGCGATCGACTAACTCTATAAAATTAAGTCTCTTTGCATGTGTTGTAATCTCTGCCAGATCAAGAGCTCAAGACTAGATTGTAAGTAGAATAATTTTTTGTATTAGAATCCTAGAATTTTGTAGATGATATGCTTTTGGTAGAAGGGAATGAGGAGTTGACAGATAGATGTGGAGGGAAAAGTTGGAATATGATGAGAAACAGTAAGACCGTGGGTGGAATACTAGGATGTCACTTGGGAAAACTTAGTGGTTCGGGCGAGAGGGACATAAGTGTACTTTTTATGAATAAATTTTAAAATACCTAGCAAATGTAGATAATTTTATGTATAAAATAGGTAACAAATCGTTTGAATGAATGAGCTGTTTGAATGAATGAGCTATTGAATTTTTATTTTATTTTATTATGGATCAATATATATATATATGGTGGCTACTTCGGTACACCCACTTTTTTGGGTGCACTGAATGCACCCACTTTTTTGTTTCATCTTAACCATTAGATATATCTAACGGTTACATTAATTTGATTGATTTATAATTAATTATTATCTAATAAACTATATTATATTTATTAAAATAATTTATACTTAATGATAATTGCAATTAAGTCCCTCACTTAATCCTCCTGTTCGTCGTTTCTTTTCCCCTCTGCCACCGTCAATACTTTCCTCGGGCATTAATCACTTGCGGGCTTAAGTAAAAAATAGAGAGACTTAAGCCCATAAACATAATTGCAGGGAGAAGAAGAGCCTTTCTCGATCAAACACAACTTCTCCTGTGTTCAACCTTCTTCTGTTTCTGTTCTTCTAACAGCAGCAACGGTTCCAATGAGCATTTCATGTACTTCGCTATAATCAGTAAAATTGACACCTGAGTATCGCCCCAGAGTCAATCAGCACTAGAATAAATAAGTTTCCCCCTTCGATTTCCATTTATTGATCTCAAGCCTTCCTCTACATATCAAACCGCACGAGCCGCACAAACCACCAGGCAATGACTCATTTCAATTCTGTTTGATCCGGCGTTTCCTCAATTTTTGCAAGCAATCTGGTAGTGTTGTATCATCCACGATCCACGTCCTTATCATGCCGACTGGTTCTCCACGATCGTCCTTATCATGCCGTATCATCCCATGTCATTCCCCGTCGCCGGCGGCACCATCGGAGCTTCTGGCTCATCGTCGACTCCAACATCAACCGGGATGGTTATTCTAAAGGTGGATGGATCGGAGACACCACGACATTAGTTCTCACTTGCCGGAGTCGACATCATCGCCATCCACTTGAGATTGCGCGGCCGTCGCCGGGCCAATGGGGTCTTCGGTTTGGGTAGGAGCGGCATGGGGAGAAGAAAGGGAAAAATTGGGCAAGTAAATAAAGATGAAAGGCGGAATTTGGGATAAAAAGTTAATAACTCACTCATTTGAGTTTTCCCGGATTAGGGGCTTAACTGCAAATATCAATAACTGTAAAACTGTTTTAATAAATACAATACACTTTATTAGTTAATAATTAAATATATTTTTTTAATAATTGTGAACCGTTAGATATACTGAAGGGTTGAGATTAAACAAAAAGATAGGTGCGTTCAGTGCACCCAAAAAAGTGAGTGTATCGAAGACATCACCATATATATATATATATATATATATGGTTATGTCTTTGGTGCACTCACTTTTTTGGGTGCATTCAATGCACCCGCCTCATAATCGTCATTCTGAGCAGGTGATTCATGTGAAAACGATGTCAATCATCACCTGTGGTATGATGAACAAGAACCACATGAATTTGTACAAAAATCATTCATGATTCACTTTAATTTGAATGATTCAGGGTTTAGGAATTTAGGGTTAGGGTTAGGGTTTACAATTTGGGATTTTGGGTTGAGATTCAAAATTGAAGGTTAATAGGTCAGGGTAATGGGTTGATTAGTTGGGATTCTATGTTATATCATCATTTTAGACTAATACAACCCATTAAATTTCAAAATTTAATGTATTATGACCACTTTTAGAGGTGGGTGCACTGAATGCACCCAAAAAAGTGAGTGCACCGAAGTAGCCACCTATATATATATATATATAGTGCCTTCTACTGTACCCCGAGTGAAATTCGGGGTACCGCATACCTTGAGTATGGAAACGGTATCTAGACCTCGAATTAGCAGGATTTTTGGGTCTGATACTATACCCTAACCCTTAATGAGTGAACCCTAGGTCCTAATTATCTAAATCATAATCTATAAACCTTAAGATGGTGCATTCCTTTTTGTGCCTATATTTGGACGAATCATAACCGTCGATTATTGTTTCTAATTAAATTGATCTTGGAGTATAAGATTGGGAGAATTAAGACCTAGATTTTGATCTTTAAGGGCTAGAGTATAGTATCATGTCCGAAAGATCGGTCAATTCAAGATCTAGATAGTGTTTTCATACTCAAGGTATGCGGTACCCCGGATTTTACCCAGGGTACCGTAGAACTCGCTATATATATATAATTAAAAATAAGAGGAGTTGTAGTATTTGTCCAAAATTTTGTAATATATTTAATCATCTTTTAAATAAAGTTTTATTAATATTTTGAATGTATAATTCTAAGAAAGTATACGCACTTCTGCTCTTCCTCTATTTTCCCATTTCATGCATCAATAACTTAAAGTAGTTCGGCCAACAGGCCGAATCAAAAGCTAGATTAGTAGAAATTGCATCTCCTGCAAGAAAAGTTCCCAGTTATTGAGTAGAAACTGCCAGAACGAGGATGTGATTCTACGCATTCTGACATATATGAAACACAAGAAAATTTGCTTTCTTTTGTAACATTACATCAATCATTTTTTTGCATCATGTCCATGTTTCCACAACACAAATTGATATTGATTACAATGCCGTTATCTTTAGGGTGAATTCTCAAACATGCCCTCGTCTGACAACCCAGGTGATTCAGTGCCGTTGACCACTACTGGTTGTTCGGAGAAGTTAGCGTTGGAATCACTTAAAAAACTGTAGTCCCAGTCTTCGTCGTCTTCGTCATCATCTGATTCTTCTTGTTCTTCAGCTTCCTTTTGCTGGACCGGGGAAGAAGCCTTGGAAAGGGCGGGGTCCCTTTGAATCTGCTGTTGCATTGCATCTTCATACGACATATCATACCAAACTGTGCCCTTACCCACAATTGATTTGTTGTGAGCATCCATCATTCTGTTTTGTTTACTCTTCTCTGAGTTCTTTGGTTCGCCCCAGTAGTCGTATCTGTATAATGGATTTTCAGGATCGTATTGTTCCTTCCCGAAGAAGCTTGCTGGCTTGTACCTTCCAGGTTCTTCCAATGGCAGGCCAACAGCTTGACGGCTGTTTCATATTTAATAAGGGCACTTTGTGTTAGCAAAACAGACTCTCTGTTTCTGGAAGAAATGAGTTGCGGGAAAGACCAGTCTAGTTCGATGTTCCGATTTTTAAGCAGTCTAGACACGAAAGTGTACCCACCACAGAGGAATCTAGGAAAATGAAACCAAGGTGATTGGAAACAGGGGCCTTTACCAGCTGATGTCTCTCAGCAAAGCTTCTCTTTCCTCAAAGGATCGACGCCAATGTAGCAGGTCGTACTCATCCATTTCAATATTTCGCTTTAGCTTGTGAATCTTATACTTCTCTCCTCTTGACTTCGCTTCCATTCGGAGTTTGCTGTGATGCTGAATCCGAAGAAATGAGGAAGCATGCATCTATCAGGAGAAGAACTTCATGAAACAAGAAACTACAACATTTAGAGAAATTCTGACCTCATATTCACACAATGCAGCCTCCAGATCGAGTTCTTTGACACTTGTTATCTGCAAAAACAAATCAGCTCATATCATTGATTACTGCACAGGTTTTATTAAAGATGGTTCAATGGCAATATATTTCTCACCAGTGTCATTTTAGGCAGTACGGTTCTCTTGTGGTAAGCTTCACCATATACAACATTGTTTTGTTCATCAATATCTTCATCGTCGGTCAACTCTGATATCTTTTTGCCTTTGTATTTATCTGGATTTTTAACCCAATCACCCACCATCATTTGCTCTGCTACATGAACTTGCCATAACTGCGTTACAATACACAAATTATACCACTCATTAAATTATTAATGCTAAGCCACTCATATTGTTATATTTCCTAATACTCCAGTGCATAAGAACTAAAGGAAAACACATCACCTTGTCAACATAAGGATGATTAGACAACAGTGCCTCCTTTTCTGGCTTCTCTCCTGGGTCTTTTCTTGGCACAGGAGGTCTTCCACAATCGCGCTGCAGCATTGTAAGGTCGATGTAATACAATTTTAAGAGAATCATATGGGTCATGATCTGCTAGAAAACAAAGGCAAGACATGCATTTGGAAAGCAAATCCTGCTAGAACATCCTCTTCCGTTGTATGTCAAAAAAACACTTTCCCACCATGCTTCAAATACCTCATGAATTAGTGATGCGAGGATATATCAATGTACAGAAACCACGAGCTAAATAAACTGAAAAAGGAGCACCATATAACTTTTATGTTTGACAGGGAAACATACCAATAGTTCCTCTTGGTTAGTATCCTCATCCCTGTGAAATATCGGTGGAAACTCAAACCGGTTGAATCTGAAATGAAGGAAGATGAGTGTCGTCACTGGCGGGGTTTGGTAGTTCAAGAAACTGGAACAAAACCCTGGATGAGATCCAAAAGGTGCTGCAAAGACTGTCCTTTTTGTACTCCAAAGAAAGTTCATGCTACCATTAATTTGAATTCAAAACCTAATTAAGAGCAACTATTTCCATAAAATTTTATTGCTCCACTCGGCAAATCTAATCATCAGACAATCGAGTAATATAAGGATATGCCATACATTTTCCCTCATAATCGCCCATTTTAATCACCTGATTCTCTTAAAATCAATCTCAATCATAACTTATATTATGATAAAGAAGAAAGAGTATGAACTGGCAGGAAAATCAATCTTTTATCCACTTGTTCTAAGGGTTTGTCACATATCCTCATTTTTCAGGGGTATGCTTATGCACTGTCTCATAAATACCATTTTATTAATTTGATTTGTCACAAACCATTTTATTAGTTCTATGGGTTTGTCACATATACTGATTAATTAGTCACGCTTCGATAAAGGATTTTAAGATTTCAAATTTCCCACCCCGTCACCCTTATAAAAAAAAAGACATTGTATAAATTTGCTAAAAAGATTAACTTATATTCCCCAAATTGAAAAATAATGTTGCTAAAAATAGAAGACACTCACCATTCATAAAAAAGAAGAAATTGTATAAATTTGCTAAAAAACATTAACTTATGTTCCTCAAATAAAAAAAATATTGTTGTTTATAGTTTCACTAATCTTAGAATATTTTTTACAAACGGTTGATCCAAACAATTACTATTTTCAAAATTTTATATAAAATAACTGAATTATATATAACTGGTTTTTAATGATATAAAAGATTTTTAATTGAGAGTACATTTAAACTTCAACAATTATAGTCCAATTGTAGATTGCAGGGGATAATAGCTAAGTGGAAGTGGTCTTTAATAAAGGGGTTGAACGGAATGTGAAAGGTTAAAAGGGGTATACATACATCAAATGATCTATGTTCGGAAAGACGAAACGCATTTCAATAGGAAAACGGAAGCGATATGGATCACGCTTTGCCTGCAAAGTAGCAAAACCAAAAGAGCCAGTCAGGCCACACCAAAAATTCATATATGCATTGAAATGCTACACAATGCTCAGAAAATACTCACCAGAATCTCAACTATAACATGCATACCGACTTTTATGTGGTGGCGAATCCAAAACCAGTCATTACCTCTAATAGGGACCCAGCTGAAATGCACAGTGTTGATAATGTATCAGACAATTTCAAGAATACCCGCAGACTACCACAGTACGACTATAACCCTTATGAATACGCCAAGCATTTACTCACAATATGGAAATAACAGCATAAGATGAGGCTCACCCATCATGAACACCTCCAATATCAACAAAGGCTCCCTGAGACAGAGCTAAGGCCACCACTTTTCCTTCACATATCTGAATTATAACATCAGTCAAGATACAAACTGTCAGTAGAGCAAAAGATGACATTAAACACATTGAATATAACGCTCAAGAAAGGATCTTTGTCATTGAAATGCTTACTTGTCCAGGATAATAAAATGGAAGCTCGTACTGCAGAAAAAACAACAAATGACAGTTCAAAATTATCTCTCTGCAGCTAGAGTAAACCACAATTGACTAAAGACTAAGAGTCCAGCATAAGGGAAATCATACCATTCCTTCTTTGTAATCCTTGCCTCTCTTTCTCCTGCCTGGGTAATAGTCCTGGTCTAGCTGTTAAACAACAAAGAGTTCTCCACACGTTTAGCCTCCAAATAGCTCAAAAGACAACCGCATAATCAACTCTGGAAAATCAAACATTTCATCCAAACTGAACAATGCAACACACCTCGTAAGACTCTTCTTCTAATCGATCCTTATTGGCATCAACCCACTCATTGTACTGCTTCAAGAACACCTTGTACCTATCAAAACAGAGTTCATCCTTATCCGAAGTGGCTTCACTCTCCAACTCCTCCAAACTAACTCTCTCCGCCTGCAACTTATGGGCCTCCCTCATCACCTCCAGCTCCTCCCTATCCACTTGCCAACCTCTCGGGGGCCAATCCCTTGGGGGCATTTGCCGGACGACTAACGGCGCCGTCCAATAGGTCTCTAGCTGTTCGGGAATTTCGCCCTTAAACTCGAATTGCTTGCGGTACCAATCATCCTCCGTCAGCCCCATCTCCTCCATCTTCTTCTTACGGTACTTGGGGGTCAGCATCTTGAAAGCCTCGATAGCTTCCGGGGTTTGGAGCGGGACTTCTTCGCCTTCGTTAAGAGACTTGCGGGCGAAATCGGCCTCCGGAGTGAGTATTTCCTCCCAGGGAGCCCATCCCCGGTCAATCCAGTTCTTCCGGCGAGCTTCGTCCTCGGTTTCTTTGTCCTTGGGCGCGAATTTCTGGATGAAGGTCTCGTCGACGGGGAACTCGTCCGAGTAGAAGCAATTAGGAGGGGGAGAGGAGATAGGCTTGGTGGTTTTGGGGGAATACAGGGGCCAGCGGTGGTGGGTTGGGGAGAGATGAGGGTTTAGGGTTTTAGGGAAAGTGAAGAGAGGAAGGGATTGGAGGCTTTGCATTTCTTTCCAGTGGGAAGCAAAAGTGCAGAAGTGAAGAGTGATGCAAGTGAAAGCGGCAGAGTGTCTGTTTAACTGTTCAACTGCTTTCTTCCTCTCTCGTGCGGGATAATTAGGGGTGGGCAACCGTCTGAAAACCGTTTGAAACTGGTACCCGGTCTCGTTTGGAGAGCAAAATTCTTTCCATGTCCCAAACCCATAAAGGTTAGCGGGTACCCGTTACCCGTACGGGATGAATAACGGGTACCCAAACTACCCGTACATACCCGTCCAACAATTGAGAACGACAAAGTTCTATTGATACAACAACAAAAGTAGAGGGTGTTAACCAGTTAAGGCAATGCTGAATAAACTGACAACAGCTCAGATGAAGAGCTATTAGCTCATATAAGAAACGAAGTCACAACGGCGGATCCAGAACACAGAAGTGCACTGGGCCGCATTTTATTAGAAAATTAGAATAGTGAAAAAATATAGGATTTTGCTACGGTGACATGCATGTCACCGTGACATGGACTTTTCGGTCGACCTATTGCTTAAGGCGGTCGACCGAATCGACTAATTCATGTTTGTGGGATTCCAAGACGCGGTCGACCTCTTACATAATACGGTCGACCGCTTTGGTGGTCTAACAGAATGAAAGGTCGACTCAAACATCTCATAGGCCGACCCTTGTGCACCTAACAGGTCGACCGCATTAGGAAGAGGTCGACCGCCTTCACACCGTATCCGTATTGGATATGGATTCCAACACCAGAAAGGTTCCACAATTGGACAAGGAAACGAATTGGGTCGACCCATTGGCGTCCCAAATCTCTATAAATACGAATATTAGTCCCCTTCAACGCCTCCAAGTCTGAATTAGGTTTTTTTCCGATTAAGAGCCTTTGTGAAGAAGATCGTTCGCGGTTGCTGTTGTACGCGTTGAAAGTGGTCGACCAGGTCTAAGGTGAGGTCGACCTAATGTACCATTCGTCGTCTTCTTTTCTAATGCGTGATTTCTACCGGCTAATTTGATATATTGTTGGGTGAAGAATTCCATTCGGTCGACCGTGACGTCAATCAGGTCGACCTGACGAGACAATTCTGCGTATTTGAATTTAGGCCACAACACTTGGATTTCTGTACTTGCGAGGTAACCCAATTGGTCGACCTAATGGGTTTCAAGGTCGACCGTTCCTGTTTTTTTGGTTATTCAACCTGAATGTCGACTTTGGCTTTGATTATATGACTATGTTGTGCTTGAAAAGGTCGACCGCGCCAAATATCTGGTCGACCTATCCTTTTTCGGTTTAATTTAGAACTTACTTTTTGTTGTTAATTGTTATTTTCCTGCTGGATAGGTCGACCTAGGAATAACAGAGGTCGACCTTAATGGTTGTGGTAGTCACTATTTGTCTTCCAGGTCGACCTAATACTATGTCAGGTCGGCCACGTATTTGTTTTTTGGTCAATTGTAGAAATTTGAAGTTGAATTATGATTTAAATTTTTCTTGAAATTGTTTAGACAATGACGCATGATGAGAAACTGCATCAAGATTTGGGTGAAATCATGAAATTGTTGAAAGCCACACAAGAGAAGCTGGTGGTGTGTCAAACACAAGTCAATGACTTTCAGAAGTCCATGTGTGATAGAGTGGAGCAATTGTCAGTTCGACTGACAGATATGACTGGGATGATGCATGACGGGTTTGAGAGGCTAGAAGGTGCTATCAAAGATATAAGTGCAGAACGAATGGAGAATGGCGGAAGAAATGGTAAAGGACCTAATTTTGACTTTGGTAAAGAGGAAGAATACCATGATGACTCTGAAAATTGCTACCAGAGCATAGACGATTTATTGAAAGAGCACATTTTAAAGGTATCCAAGTATATTCATATGTGATTGAAGATATTAGTATTACTATCATTAGTGCTAATTTGTTTTGTTTATATGTTTGACAGAGTGAAACAACGAATGGCAGCAAGGGTTCCTCTCCTAAGTACAAGAGACCTCGATATGAAAGTGACTCCTACACCACTCCACAGAAGGATCAATTTGTAAGAAAAGGATTATTTAGTGATGATAGCGATGAAGAAGAATCTAAGAGTCCTTTCGAAAAGCACGGGGTAAGTTTACGTTACATATTCATCTATAATGTGTGTTTGTGTTCATATGTTACTTTAATTTTAACTATGATTTGTAGGTCATGAAAGTGGAGGGTCTAGAAGGATTCACCAAAAATCTTCAAAATCCAGTTGAAGACTTGTATTATGTTGTTACTAAAGAGAAGGTTGGGGACAAGAATTGGGACAAGTAAGACGTTTTTTAGTACGTGTGGTCGACCGGATCGGTTATGAGGTCGACCGCTTTTCCAATAAGGTCGACCGTGACTGTGAACAGGTCGACCTGTACGTTGCAAATCACAATTGACATTTTTGTTATTTTGATTTTTGCAGTTTGACCGTTGTGGACTTTTTTTCTGAAAACGTGCAACGACATTATTTGAGTTCGGTCATTAGCGAGAATAGCTGGGTTTGCTCATCAGTAAGTACTATACTACTACGACTTTCGTATGAATTGTGCACTATTTATGTTACGATTTACAATGATTTTGTGTTTGATTGTTGGATGGTAGGTAGTGGATTTGTGTGCAAGGGCACTAACAATGTCTGAAAAACATGATGTGAAAGAGCCAAATGTGTGGTATTTGCCAAATATGTTTTCGGTAAGAGCCGTAATGTCAAATTATTTGTCATAACCTAGTTATTTATATTGTACCATGTCAATTCATCTCAACTAAAACATGCTGCAGAAAATGGTACGCGCTTACATGAAGACCAGACAAATTCGTAACAAGTTAATGAATGATGGCGTGGTCTTTATGCTGAATGTCGGTGCATGCCAGAAGGTTAGTCTAGTCAATGTCATTATATCAATAAATTTCGAAAGTGCATTTGTTTGTATTCGCTGTTTATAACATATAGTGAGTGTTTCGTTGCTAGATATTTATGCCAGTTCTTGACGATGAAGCACGTCATTGGTTTCTGTATCTCATCAATGTCCAGCAAAAAACTGCATTTTTGCTTGACAGTCTACCTTCAACTAGTGAGGCGAATCGTAGGCGTAAATCAGCACTATGCAAGAAATTGGTAAGTGTTTTCTATAATTTTCTGACTGTTAAGCGTCACGTATGATGCTAGAAACTTAAAATATTCATTATTTGTGTGTAGTTGTCCAATTTGGATGATATTTTCAAACCAGAGCGCATGAGCAATGTAGGAGTACCAAATTTTGGAGATTTCAATTTTGATGAGCTACGAGTTCAACGGCAAAGGAATAGTACTGAGTGTGGTGTGCACGTCATGCAGTGGATGCGCTATGGATCCAAGGATCTTGATAGAGTGGTGAGTATATCGTCAAACAAATAACTTGTTTAATTTACACTTTTTTAGTTGTAACGAAATCTTACATGGCATAATGCAGATAGGAGAAGAACACAAATTACCGGCGCGAAAGGAGATTCTATGGTATCTGGCTACACATTTTGAAAACCTTGCACGAGAAAATCTTTTCAAGCATGTAGTAGATGAATGCATGGAACGAGGCAAAGAGAGACAGAGTTCAAACAAAAAAGCAAAGAAATGAAGTCGTTAAGTTACAATGTTGCATTATTTGGACCATACATTGAATTTGTATTTGCGAGATCGTTTCATTTTGGATTTTGAATGTTTATCGTTTATTAGATTTGTTATACAATTATGGATGTGACTGAATTTACGATTTCAATCGTCTAGAACAAGTGGTCGACCACATATTCAAAGCGGGCATACCCAAAGGCAGAGCACAGGTCGACCTCGTGACGCAAAAGGTCGACCTATGATACCGTAGCAAAGTCAAAAACCATGTAGAACATGGATGGAATCTCGTCAGTTTGGCCTTAATAAAATACGGTCAACCATTCTTGTTAAGAGGTCGACCTGTTTCACATTTATAAACAATGGTCGACCATTTCAGTAAAGAGGTCGACCTGTTTCACATTTATAAACAATGGTCGACCATTTCAGTAAAGAGGTCGACCTGTTTCACATTTACCCAAAACGGTCGACCATTTGTGCAAAGAGGTCGACCTTAATGAATCATGTCCTTGTACAATTAGGATTTTGTGTACTTGTCCTTGCCGAATTATGATTTTATATATCTTTCACCAATTGGATAAAGAATTCGTCTACATTATCTATAAATAGATGGGAGTCTGAAGACTTTAATCGTACTTCGATTTATGCAATTTGTTGGAGTGAAGTTGTAATATCATCGCTCTTATTGTGATCGGGTGTTGGTGGCGGTTTATTTTTATTCCGGTAGACCGTAACAATAAGTGGTCGACCTCTTTGCTAAGGTATGTCTCGTATGTGCTTGTTAATGCTTGTATGTGGTTAAATTTTTCCTACCATCCGGTCGACCACCCTCACCATCCGGTCGACCGTGCTTTTGTAATTATATGATTAGGTCGACCTTTCAGTAAATTCTGGTCGACCGCATGTTTGTTATTTAGTAATAAGGTCGACCGTACAGTTTATTCAGGTCGACCTGACGAGCGCTAATTGTGTATGTTTTTGACATTAAGTTCGTATTCCGATCGTTTCAGGATGGATAACAGAGATGATACAGATGATGAGGTTAACTTCGATGAGGAACCTAAGGATGCTCAAGAAGGAGCTATGGATAATTCAGATGATACAGATAATACAGATGATGAAGTGGTTGGGGATGATAATGAAACCGAGGGTGCTGAAGAAGAATTTATGGATGATGAAGAAGCTACTGAATATGAACAACAAATTCCTTGCATGGAGTTCCAAACATTAGAAGATGCAGAGAAATTTTACGATTCCTATGCTAAAGCGAAAGGATTTAGCGTTCGACATAGAGATCTTCGGAGGAATCGTCGAGGAGTAGCAATTGGGAGGACAATGGTATGTTCGAGAGAGGGGACTAGAGATAAGATGCATATAGATAAAGAAGGTCGGACTCGACAACATCGTAAGATGACAAGACATTATTGCAAGGCATCGTATACTGTACGCTTTGATCGGAATAAGAAAATGTGGGTTGTTTCTAAGTTTGAGAGGAAGCACTCACATCGTTGCTGCAATGAAGAAGAAAGTCAATTCCTTCGGTCTCATCGAAATGTGAGTGAAGGAGACAATGCTCTGGCGATAGGGATGCAACAGTCAGGAATAAAACAACGCAACATTGTTCAGTTCATGAAGAATAAAGTTGGAGGATATGAGAATCTGGGGTACACTCCAAAGGATTTGGACAATGCTGTTCAGCAATCCCGAACAGTTGACGACGATCTAATAGGAGATGTTAACCGAACATTGGGTTACTTGCAAAGTAAACATACCTCTGATGCAGGCAGCTTCTTCAAGTACACAACCAACGATGAAGGTGAATTAGGCAATCTCTTCTGGTCGGACTCCACATCTAGAGCAGATTACCATTTTTTTGGGGATGTCTTGGCATTCGATGCATGCTACAAGCGCAACAGGTACAATCGACCATTTGTTATGATGGTTGGTGTAAATCACCACCACCGTAACATCATATATGGTTTTGCCCAGTTGGATAACGAGACAATCCCCAACTATGTTTGGTTGTTGAATACTTTTCTGGAGTGTATGAACTCTAAGATGCCCACTTCAGTGATCACAGACGGAGACAAGTCTATGCGTGGTGCCATTGCTACTGTTCTAGTTGGAGTGCCTCACCGTCTTTGTATTTGGCATATTGAGACAATTGCGACAACGGCTGTTCATAATAAGGAGTTTGTTAGCGCATTCACTTACTTGGCGAAAGCACGAATATCGATTGAGGAGTTTGAGAGGCGTTGGGAGCATTTGATTAGTCAGCATGGTTTGTCTGCAAATAAGTGGTTGCAGGATTTGTACGCTGACAAATTACTGTGGGCAGAGGCATACTTGAAGGATATTTATTTCGGTGGACTCCAATCAACCTCGCGATGTGAGTCATGTAACCATTGGATAAACGGGTATGTGGGAACTCAATACAACTTGCAACGTTTTGTTCAGGGCATTGATGAAGCACTGGAGGGGATGCGTTTCACGGAGGTGCAGGATGATTATACTTCTAGGCACACGAGGTTGGTCTGCAAGCATGCCCTTCGCACTTGGGAAATGCAAGCTGAAAGTATCTACACTCATCGTACATTTGCTATCTTCAAGTCTGAACTAGAGAATGAGGCTTCTTATGTATTAGCAGAGAGAAGAACTGAATCAGATGGGACAGAGACATTCATACTGAAGAACTACATGAACCCAGATCGGATAAGGCGGTTAACATTTACAACGTCCAATCAAGATCTAAAATGCGAGTGTGCATTATTTGAATCTAAGGGGTTTCCATGCAGACACATGCTTACAGTAATAAAAAATATGGGGTACACCGCACTACCCTCGTCGTGGTTCAAGCTACGATGGACCCAAAATGCGTAGACACTAAATCGTCATCCTGGAGTTGGAGGTGATGTGGGAGAGAAAGTTGGTCGACTGATAAGACATGGAGGATTGGCTCTAAAGTGTAAGCGTTTATGTGACATCGCGTGTGGTAGTGAATTTGCTTTTAATCATGTCTCTAAGACGTTGGACGACCTTACTCAATGGGCAATTGAGTTCGCGAGGGAGAGAACGGACAACACCACACCGGCAAACCCTCCAACACCCCTTCAAAGTGTGAAAGATCCAAAAATTGGGAAGACCAAGGGGACATTCAAGTCAGCACGAACTGCATCGGGTAAAAGTTTAAGAAAGTGTTTGAAATGTGGGAAATATGGTCATTTTCGCCCTAAGTGCCCGAAACAAAGTCCCAAAAAAGGATCTTAAATTTCTTCTATTGTTGTTTAGGAGTTTATTTATATTTTAATAACTGTGATTGCATTGTAATTTCTTCGAATTATCTTAATAATTTATGAGTTAATTGATTTTTGGTTGATTGGACGAAGATCGGGCGCGAGGCAAGTCAAAAAGAAAGCCACACGGGCACACACACAACCCACACGGCCGTGTGATGTTGCAATTTGGCCGTGTGGAATTATGCGAGGCCTCACACGGCCAGGCTGGGTGAGCTACACGGCCAGGCTGGCGGCAAATAGCAATAAAACGGTCGACCTCATACAAATAACGGTCGACCTGAACATACACGGTCGACCGAACATGTTAGTGAGGTCGACCGCGTATTTAATTCGGCCGACCAAACCGGTTTGTTTGCAACATCCACCCAAACCTCCCCCAATCCTCTATTTAAGAAACCCTCCCCCACTCATTCTACACCACAATCAGAACCCTATCCCACCACATCCACTCATTCTTCCTCTCCTTTCCCTTCTTCATCTTCTTCTCCATTTTCCAAAAACTCCATTTTCCAAAAACTCAAAGAAAGCTTCATCCTCATCACTTAGAAGAAGAACAAGGTATAGCTTTCACTCCTCTCTTTCATTTGAGTCGATTCTTGTCTTCTTCTTTCTCTTTTCAAAAAATCTAAAGATGTAAAAGAGGGATTTTTCCTTCTGTTCGTCAGAAGCGGTCGACCTGTTCATCATCGTGGTCGACCGCGTCTGGCCTTAAATCGATTTTTATTTCTGTTTTATGGACTGAGGTCGACCTATGATGATATTGAGGTCGACCTGTGAAGTTCGAGTTGAGATTTCTGGCCTTATTATTTAGATCTGTAGCTTGAAAATATGGACTTTGTCCTTCTGTTCGCCAGATGCGGTCGACCTTTTCATAATCATGGTCGACCGCATCTGGCCTTAAATCGATTTTTATTTCTGTTTTATGGACTGAGGTCGACCTATGATGATATTGAGGTCGACCTGTGAAGTTCGAGTTGAGATTTCTGCACTTATTATTCAAGCGATCTTATTTCTGTTTTTTTTGTGCGAAACTAACACAGGTCGACCGCTTCTATTTATGAGGTCGACCGAATCTGTTTTGCACTCAATTGATACGAGCATTTGGGCCATTTCTTTTCGTTTTAATTTAGCCGAGGTCGACCTGTGATGCTTCTGAGGTCGACCTATGAAGGCAAAAGTTCGAGTTGTGCCTTTGTCTTTGAATTATTTGTGCAAAACTAACACTGGTCGACCTCTTCTATTTATGAGGTCGACCGAATTTGTTTTGCACTCAATTGATACGAGCATTTGGGCCATTTCTTTTCGTTTTAATTTAGCCGAGGTCGACCTGTGATGATTCTGAGGTCGACCTATGAAGGCAAAAGTTCGAGTTGTGCCTTTGTCTTTGAATTATTTGTGCAAAACTAACACTGGTCGACCTCTTCTATTTATGAGGTCGACCGAATTTGTTTTGCACTCAATTGATACGAGAATTTGGGCCATTTCTTTTCGTTTTAATTTAGCCGAGGTCGACCTGTGATGATTCTGAGGTCGACCTATGAAGGCAAAAGTTTGAGTTGTGTCTTTGTCTTTGAATTATGTGTGCAAAACTAACACTGGTCGACCTCTTCTATTTATGAGGTCGACCGAATTTGTTTTGCACTCAATTGATACGAGCATTTGGGCCATTTCTTTTCGTTTTAATTTAGCCGAGGTCGACCTGTGATGCTTCTGAGGTCGACCTATGAAGGCAAAAGTTTGATTTATTTGTGCTAAACTTATTGAGGTCGACCTGTGATGATATTGAGGTCGACCTCGGGCCATTTAAATCGATTGAAAGGCAATTGTGACTTTCAGAAGCCGCGCAGTGCAGGAGATTAGGCCATCTTGCAATGCACTCGAAGACATAAACGATTGTGTCTTCGAGTGCATTACAAGGTGGTCTAATGTCCTGAACTGCACGGCTTTTGAAAGCACAATTGGCTTTCAATCGATTTAAATTTTCCGAGGTCGATTTATGTTTTTTCTGAGGTCGACCGGATCTGTTTTGCACTCAATTGGTACGAGGATTTGGCCCATTTTAGACTCGTTTCAATTTAGCCGAGGTCGACCTATGATCTTCTGAGGTCGACCTATGAAGGCAAAAGTTGGAGTTGTGCAATTCTTTGAATTATTTGTGCGAAACTAACACTGGTCGACCTCTTCTAATTATGAGGTCGACCGGATCTGTTTTGCACTCAGTTGGTACGAGGATTTGGCCCATTTTAGACTCGTTTCAATTTAGCCGAGGTCGACCTATGATGCTTCTGAGGTCGACCGATGAAGGCAAAAGTTTGAGTTGTGCAATTGTCTTTGAATTAATTGTGCGAAACTAACACTGGTCGACCTCTTCTAATTATGAGGTCGGCCGGATCTGTTTTGCACTCAATTGGTACGAGGATTTGGGCCATTTTAGACTCGTTTCAATTAAGCCGAGGTCGACCTATGATGCTTCTGAGGTCGACCGATGAAGGCAAAAATTCGTGTATGTCGACCCATTCCCGTTTTAAATTAACTGAGGTCGACCTATGATTCTTCTGAGGTCGACCCATTCTCGTTTTAAACTAACTGAGGTCGACCGCTTTATGGAGTGGTCGACCGCGTATTGTTCATTTCGAAAATGTGACTAACGTGTATTCTTGCTTGTTTGATCGCCGGATGTATGGCGGCAAAAAGAAAAGAAAGGCACAAAAAGCTGCTGCCTCAAGTTCGGAATGGGAAGAGTTCAATCCCAATCTGTTCCAGACCAAGGAGCAAAGTGAGAACTATGAAGAGAAGAGAATGCACAACCACAGGGTGGCTCCGGGAAGGCTATTGACGACGGATGCGTATTCTCATTTCGAGAATTACGGGTTTCTGGGACCCTTCATCGAGCAAGAGTGGCTGAAGGTGATATCTCTCAATGTACCATACTACCCAAAACTGGTACAGTACTTCTACAACAACATCGTCTACGAGCGCAATGCAAATGGATCCATTCACGCATTCAAATCCTATGTGAATGGGGTGGCGATGCGCATCAGCAAGAATGTGTTGGCGCAAGTACTTCAGGCTCCAAACGAGGGGAAGAGAATCAATTCTTACGGTGCTTGGAATGAAACGCATTTCACGAGAGCCAAGCAAATCCAAACGGTATGTGGTCTTGATGAAGAGGAAGATGCTCAGGGGCGCAATAGGCCATCGAGTAACCACCTGACAGTTCAAGCCAGAGTTCTTCACCACATGCTTTCCTACAACATTCTGCCAAAGGGTGGACATCGGGAGACAGTCACCTACTTCGACATGGAGCTCCTCACCAACCTACTGTTAAGCGAGAAGGTGAACTTGCCATACTTAATCTTTAACCACATGCTTACTGCTGCAGAGAGTTCAAACAGGAATCTTCCCTATGGGATGATCCTCACTGTGCTATTTGAGCATTTTAATGTGAATTTAAGTGAAGAGGTGGGGTTAAGAATCTCAAGGCAGGAGTTCTATACTGTTTCATCTCTGAAAAAGATGGGCTTTGAGCTGCGTAATGGTGAGTATGTCAGAGTAAACAATGCTCATGGTGGTGATGATGATGATGATGATGATGATGATGATGAGGGTGATGAAGGAGCTCGAGACGAGCCAATGGGGGAGGCACAGAGTTCAACTCCACCGATCACCTTACAGCGTGTGTGGGAGCGCATGGATGGCATGTACGAGTACATGGGCCAGATGTCCACCCAGATGACTGGCATGCACGACTACATGGGGCAAATGACCGCCCAGATGAGCACAATGCAGGTGACCGTGAATGAGATGCGAGATGAGTGGCGATCTTTCAGCGGAAGATACATGCATCCCACCACATCCGACCACCATCATGCTAGCACCACCAATGAAGAAAATGTGGATGAGAGAGAGGGGGGAGATGAGTAGGAGAAATGAGTTTTTATATTGTGTGTTTTAGTGGTCAAAACGATTGTTGAGTGTTATTCTGTTGTTTTTTTAGTTTTATTTTTATGTGTGAACAATTATGATTTCTGTTTTATTTTTAGTTGTTATGCTATGAATTGATGAGTCCTTGTTATAATTATGACTAATTATGATGGTTTGAAACATAATTTATACGATTAAAAGAACCACACAAATCGACATACATAAGCAAAAAAGACACGGGGCATAGGGTGACTTTCTTGTATTCGGTCGACCTAGTAACGGATTAGGTCGACCGCGAAACCAACACTTGATCTTGATTTTACGTCAATTAATTGGACACTTTGATAGAACACTTATCTTCTATCTGGTCGACCTCTTTCATCATCCGTTCGACCATTTTGTTAATGACTGCAATCAAGTGGTCGACCTATATACCTTAGGTGGTCGACCATGTTGTTTCTGACGCCAACGAAATGGCCGACCCAGGTTTTATTCTGGTCGACCAAAAATATCAACTTAAACTAAGTGCGGTTGACCAGGTGGTCGTTGAGGTCGACCGCAATGCTTTCTCGTGCTGCCCAAATTAGTCGATTCGGTCGACCGCCTTCAGCAATAGGTCGACCGAAAAGTGCATGTCACCGTGACATGCATGTCATAGTAGGCATACCCAAAAATATAATGATTATAATTTTTTTACAATGTAAATTGTACACGACGGTATTTTAATTTAGCGAATGCATTAATAATGGAGTCCACATTCATACCAATAGTATACACTGTTTCAAATAAAATACTTGAGCAATCGACTAGAAATCAATCGCTCATTTTGTTGCGCAAATCAATTTTCACATGTTTCGTTGTTGAAAAGGTTCTATTCGTATTAGCTGTTGAAACGAGCAGCATCAACACTAGACAAATCAATCTACTAATCAATTTGCATTGTGTTTCCATCCCTATATCCACCAGCTACTCTAGTAAATTTTCCAAGGTAACAAATCTCATATATGTTTTAGTCTTTTAGGTTTTAAACTTTTTGAATTTTTAGGTTTCATTGTTTTTTGACGAATAACCTTTGGGGTTAGAATTTATAAGCTAAATTTAGAGTAGTGATTTTGAATATGTTCATCTGAATTATTTTTCTAATTATACCCAATCTTATTTTAAAATAACAACGACCCGAATATCTAAAATCGAAAAATTCATAAAGCATATACTAACTATGGATCCAGAGGAGGGCTGGGCCGGGGCCCGGGGTGGCCACCCCCTAGATCCGCCACTGCGAAGTCAGCATGGATTGCTTCTTTTGATTCTCTATATTACTAGCTTATAACCCGGCCCTTTGGCCGGAATGCTCATATTTGATTATTTGTATTTTTACGTTACTTTTAAGTCTATTAACCCGTTTAATCTTATTGATAATCATTCGATCGAGATGATACATAAAAAAATAATATATAGGTCGAACATTCGGAGAAATATCATAATCATTTAAGAATATAAAATATAAAAATGTATCATTGACCCCATTTTCATAATGTTAATTAAGTCCCTGTTAAAATGCTATTGGTTAGTTTTTTTTTTCACAGTCAAGAAATATAGAGTATAAAAGCTCACTGAAATTCTCACACAACCATAGATAGTTTGAAACTAAATCTTAAACCTCACAATCCTATATAAAGGGTTCAATGCTCTCCTTTTAGAAACAATATGTCACTAATCAAAAAGAAATGGAGAGTTGTTGATTCAAGTCATCTATATACTAAAAACTCAGCTAAGAGGAGACCATCACAACTTGATAGCAAACGAAAAAATCAGGGTTACTCCAATATACGAATAGACTCGATCAAAGTAATAAGGCGCAAAATTAGACACTCCTTATCTATTAGTTCCAGTAGGTTGAATAAAGAAGCGACCTATTTCAAACAATCAATCAATAATTCCTCGTTTTAAGATAGAAATAGGTTGTGACAATTGCAAAAACCATAAACCTAAAGATCCAATAGCCACAACTCTCCGTTGTACAACCAAATTTCTATCTCAAGAGGCATATATTCAACCAAAAATTCAATTTCTAATCCTCCTTCTACAACTTCAGTTATTGATGAACTCCATTCTATTCGCCATGAATTGATATCGGAGTTGAAATCTTCTACTCGCCCAGCTTACAATCCCCAACAATAAAACCGTAGTGCCAAGAGATACGTGAAGATTGATTTTCAATGACAGTCTTGTACTGGGAAGTGAAAGGCGCAAACTATTGCACGATGGATGAAATTTCGGAGGAAGTTAGAAAGAAAAGAACAAAGATAAAAAAAACACAAAATTTAAATTTAAATTGAAAAATGCAAGGATACAACACGTAGTTACATAATTAGTTTCTTCCATGTTAGCCAATTACCCATTTACCTTTAGCAAAAATTAAGGAGAGAGCGGGAATTTAAAATTGAGAAAATTACATGAAACTCTACTATGAAAATAGAAGTATCAAGCTCGATAAAAATACATACGGTAGACTTAGTGAGCTTGCTAATTATGATGAAAAAGTCCTTTGATTCTTAGAGATTAACTTTGTCTATTTTTTCTATAAAAAAGGATGCAATAAATTTGTTTAGTGTAACTGGTTGTGATTGTTATTTTTGTTTGAAGAGACCCGGGTTCAAATCTTGATATTGCTATTTTTATATGAAATAAATAATAATTGTGTAAAGACAAAAATGACCTTCCTACTTTCACTCTCGTTGCAGGAAATTTGAAATGGAGAAAAGTACACAAAACTCTACCATATATTAATGGAGGACTAGATCCTCCACTGCTCTCCCACACGGATTTCTCCTTCTATTTCCAGAAGGTATGTTAACGAGTTAATTAAGGGCAACAATGAATTTAAACTTATTGATGAATTCAGACCAAAAGAGAATAGAATACCATGTTCTTGTTGTATGTATAGCCATTCATGGTGCAACGTGGGGATTTTAGTTCAATGAATGGTCAGCTTGCTGTCTTTTAAAGTTCTTGAATTTCAGTTGTCAGTTTGAGATGAATGGATGGACATAAAATTTGGGATAGTGAAGGAAGAAGCAGCAGCTGTAAGTAACCAATACGCCTATATAAACTAGACGAAACGAAGAAGAATGATGATGACGTATTACGGGTACCCGTATTACCCAAATGGGTATTAACGGGTAACCCATGGATACCCGTTGTAGAAATCATTGATCCCAAGTCCCATCCCGTTAAAAATAAAACGGGTATTTAGGTACCCGTAGGGATAACCAAGAATTCCGACTTGCCTGAAAAGGTTTCCGATTCGTATTTTTTGTTTGTCTTTGTGAATATAAAAAAAAAACTCCGACGAGGCGGAATTACATATTTACATGACTTCGGATATTGTGACAATTGACATACATTTTGACTTCCGTCAAATAGGTTACACCCTCTAATATGACTACCATACTAATCAGCATACACATTAATACAATTGAAAACTCCATTACATATGATATTTGTTTGGTTATCTCAGAGTTTGTGCAATTTAATTCAATTTTATTTCATTTCAGTTACAACAATATAATTCACTTGCAATTAAATATATGAGGGTTTAAGAGACTTTATAATAAATAAAATTAAACCAAGAAGAAAAAATAAATTAATGTGTTTATTAATTTTCCTATGTTGGCTTGCTTCTTCAATTTCATTTAATACAAGATTGCATCTTTGCAAGCGCCCACTACATTGATGCAATCTCTTTTGCAATTGCATATTGATTGTCAGGTAGAATATGCAATTGAGCAACTACCATTGATGTGGACACTCTAACAACAAGGCATTCATAGGCAAATTATGGTTTGGTACCTAAACTTAATAGATGTTAAGATTTAGTACCTGAAATTAAATTTTTTTGCATATAAGTCCTAAAATATTGACGCAAAATTACTGTCTTACATTTTTTTTTAGATGGGAATCTAAAATTTCATTAAGCTCAGGCTAAAAACGCCTCTCAAAATACTGTCAAATACAAAAAAGCTGTATAGCTTCTACAACCATAAGTAAGTAAACTTCTAATTATCTACAGCATCAATGAAGTCAAGAATTTTCTAGCATTCCGGATCTCCATTCACCCTACATGTAACCTCTCCACGCACAACACTACACATCTCCAATGGTGATCGAGCAAACCTATCTCCATACAAGCGTGAGCATCGTTCACGCCAAACCCAGCTGAGCACAACACACCAAATCAGCCGACACACTTTCGATTTAGCAGAGTTTCCACCACCCCAATTCTGCACACACCAATCAACCATTTGATCCCACTGTACACAAGGAGGCGGAGCATACGATCTTAAACACTTCTTCAGCACAAAATATGTATACGAACATTGCCTCAGCAAATGAATTCTACCTTCCATTCCACCCGGACATAATAAACAAAGTCCAGACACCAATTTCCCCCATCTTAACAGCTTGTCTTAAGTTGTCAACCTATCCTGCATAGCAAGCCATACTATAAAACCATGTCGTGGTATTATCTCTTTTCCCCAGATTAGTCTTGTCCAAGGCAACTCAGGATCATGCTGCCTAATAAGTAATATCCTACCACACTCTAGAAACTGAGTACCTCTCCATCTTTTCTCCTTTCCACAGAACATCTGGTGCCACTCCTGAAATAAACTGTGTAGCCAAGTTTCTGCACTTCAAAATTCTTCTCCAAATCCACGTCCCTGCAGAACTAGGAGCAACATCCCAAATGCTCTACTGCTTCAAGAGATACCGAGTTACCCAAGCAACCCAGAGAGAGCCCCCATTAGTTAGAATGTCCCAAATGTGTCTTAAAACACAAGCCTTATTCCAGATTCCAAAATTCCTTATACCCAATCCACCTTCCAGTTTCGGTTTTGCCAATAACTCCCAAGCCATTACAGCTTTCTTCCTTGAACTATCCTCCCCAGAATTCCATAAAAACACATTGCATAGTTTCTCCACTTCTTTAATCACATATTGAGGCAGCAAGAACATATTAAGCCAATATTGCAAAGTACCAGTAATGACTGAGGAAACCAGTTGAATCCTGCCAGCATAGCTAAGTGATTTAGTTCTCCAACTCCTTAATTTCTGGGTTATTCGATCAATTAAGACTTGACAATCTCTATGAGAGAGCTTACCCGTAAGCAAGGGAACCCCTAAATACTTCACAGGTAAAGTCCCAAGTGGAAACTCAGAAAAAGTTGAGATACTTTCCTTCTCCTCCTGAGGGATCCCAGCACAAAACAGTTGGCATTTGGCAGGGTTGCATCTTAGCCCAGAAACAGAATAAAACTTATCCATCAAACGTCTAATACCAGCAAC